CGATACAGACAGCAGGGCCAGAGGTGCACAGCAGCTCTTCCATCCAGACAGGAGCACAGAGAAGATGCACAACCTCCTGCCTGTGTGCTGTTCAATAGAGACATGAATTTCTTAGGGTAACCTGTGCAACCTCTGGTGATGTCTCCAAACCTGGACTGCCTAAAAGAGGCCATTTAAACACAGAAATTTGTCTTTGGTTCAAGGGCTAGTCCCATTTTTATAGCTGGCATACGAGCTCAAATATTTCCCAGTGTTTTAAGTATCTCACAATCTTTTCTGCAAGCAAGGCAGCAAACCTGTTCTTGTGCCTCATTTCACTTGCTTCCTCACTGTTAGGGAACCACAATCTTTAGAGAAGAAAAGCTTAGTTGTATAGACTATATGGTATGAAAGGATTTTAACTCTTTTGTGTTTTTTTTTTTAAATGTTCTACACATCGTAATGCAGTGTTTTAATTTGCTGCCTTTTTGAAACCTGAAAAATGATGTAAATTCAATTTTCCTTTTTCTTTTCTCCGTGTTTCATACTGACTCTGAAAGTGTATTACTGTTTTAACATAACCCTTTTCCTTAGCTTTAGAAGAAGGTAGTATTAAGTGAGTTTTGAGTCAATGTATATGACTAGGAGGTTTAAAATACAAAGCGTATACTAGAGTATTAAAAAACTTGTCAGGTTTCTTTTCCCTTTAAGTAAATTCAGGCATTGAGCTTTTGAGTGCTTAGGCTGATCTGTCTGCTGCTCCATGGAACTGGATTGTGCTTGCCCAATTGTCTGCATAGTTAAAATATTTTGAACATAGCCTATTTTAATGTAACTTCTTTTGAAATATCTGCCTAATGGAGAAGTCTTAATGGAATACTTTAATAGCCCAAAGTGGTTACCTGCAATTGCTCCAGTGTATTTCAGTCAATTACAAAGGAAGGCAATATTTAATGTTGGAGTGAAGCTAGATGGTGTAATGAACTGGCAGATTGCCAACTTGATCTTCTCCACAGGAGAATTTGTATTAATGTGATGCTTTTCATTTGTTCTCCAGAAGGTCACCAGTAATATGTCAATTGGAGTTAAAATTCCCACTCTGTGCAGTACAGGTTTATGGTCAGATCATTCTTGTGTATTAGCATCTTAAGTATCAAAGAGATTATTTTAGCAATTTCGTGTCAGAATTTAAATAGGAGGTGGTTGGGTATTGGGAAGAGAGCCTGAGAGAATTGTCATGGAAATTGTTGCTGTAAGGCTGAATCTGGATTTTAGCCATGGAGATAAAGAAAATGGGGCATATTAGAGCTATTAGTGAAAGAAGAGGTGGTTAATAACTGTGGATGTTTCTTATAATGTAATCATTGTAAGACCACTAATTTATTCTGTGAGATAGTAACCTTTATAATAATGTTCTTATATTAGATGTTATTGATATTTACCTTCTGGTACTTGTTTCCAAGCATCAAATTCAAACTCTTATTTCTGGCTATTGACAGAGGCTTTTTACTGTGGAAAAAGTTTTATAGTCCTTTTGTTTGGAAGACCTTGATTTAGAAAGCAAATGAGTGACTAAAGTTACTGTTGAAGATAGATAAATTTGTCTTTTTGCTTTGTGTGTCTGTAATCCCATGTTCATCCAATTCCTGTACTCTGCCATTCCTATTCCTGGTCATAGTCTTTTGTTCCTCTGCTCTGGGCCTCAGGGGAAGTGTAGGGTGTGGGGAGACTCAGGAGTGCTAAGGAGCCGTGGCGTTTCACATGCAGCAGGGCTGACATTACTCCAGTAGTAGATGCATTGAGTGAGGCGTGGCAAATGGACATGGTGCTAAATGGTCCAGAAGTGATGGGCACTGGGGATACCACGGGAGTATGCCCATGCCCATCTCTGTGCCTCTGTTTGCTTTGCTGACTTCCAAAAAAAGTTGTTGACTTGATTTCCCGAGTTTCCGATGTTGCGCCAGTTTGTCTTTTGGGTGACCACTAAGTCCTGTGTGCTGCAAGGCTTTTGAAGGTGATTCAAAATAATTTTGTACTCTACTCAAAATTTAACAATTCATTCCACAGAATGTCTATGCTATCAAATGTTTCTTTCTATTGCTGGCTAGTAGGACATAGCAGGAGAATCAGAAAACTCCATGTGTGGTGCAAACTCTGCCTGGGGGCAGGTAGTCCCAAACCCTAACTGCTGTTACAATTTTTTGACCCTTGAGAAGACAGGTCCTGAACTTCTGTAACTGAGGATTGTTTCAAGGAACACATTCTAAAGGAACATTTTAAATATAATTGAAATATTTGAGGTGTGGGTTTCCACCCTGAGTTTGTGTCACTTGGCAAATCACAGCGTTTTGGCAAAGCTTTGTACTGTGGGGGTGTGTGATGGAAATTGACTTCTCCTCTGGGGAAGTGACTGTTAGTGTGACTCCTTGCAGAAAACTTCCTCTGGCTCTTCCGAAGCCAAGTGAAGATTTTCATTATGAGAAAAATAGAAAATGGGCTCACAATGCAACAGGATTGAACCCAAAGAGAACAGAGACCAGTCTGCATCTTGTGCTTGTGTGTCTGTTAGGTTAACAGAGTTTTATTTCAATATGACTGTTGTTAGCAGTGGTGTTTTTTTGTGCATCTTCTTCCTTTGACTATTTGCACTATCACCATTAACATTCCAAACTACTTTCAATGTGTTTTAATTGAGCTGCCAAAATAAAACCATTCTCGCTCTACAGAAGGAAGTTAGCATTGTTATGTTGAGATAAACACATGACTCATTCTTTTCTTACGCGTTCAGATGAAATTTGGACTGGTTTTTTTTCCAACTGTACTTCTCTATTTTACTAATAAATACACGGCTCATTTTTCAGGTATTGATGATGAATAGTGCTGTTTTCCAGCTCACTTTCAAACATATGTTCTATTTGCAAGCATGCATTTGTGAAGGTGGAAGCAATAATTAAGGGAGGTATTGTGTTTTTCTTTAAGGAAAACAAAAATGCCCTAGCAAAATCAGAGGCTTGGTACAGCACTTCAATGATAGATGGTAATGAGCAGTAGATGATTTGTGAGATAGGACAAGGAAAGATAGTACTATTCAGAAGATCTTGTACCAAAAAAATGAGGAGATGTTTATTTTCTCTTTTTTAGCTCTTAATATTAAAAATATCCTTGTATTATTGACAGGAGAAAAACACATACTACAAAACATTCAGCCAGCAGGAAAGTAGATCTGCTCTGCCTTGGGGTTTTAATGTGGCTTCATTTATTAAAGCCTCTCTCCCATTTACTTTGTATCTGTCCTGCAATTTCAATAGAGCAGTTTTCAGTGGGAACACAGTTAAGGTCTGTAATTGGTTAGAAAAATTGATACAGCAAAGTGTTGTTGCCTGTGGTCTGAGTCTGCAGAACACTGGAAACCCAGGTGGGACAGCAGCTATTCCAGCCATCACTGGGAAGAGGAGAAGGGGTTGGTCCCCCTTGAGTCTGCTTTCTGGTCTCACAGGCAAATCTTCATTCAGGTGGTGAGCTGGATCAGGAGGCTCTTCTGTTGGAATAACATTTTCTCATAATTTGCCATCCTCCATTATTCATTTATTTTTTTTAATCTTGTGTGTTTTTCAGGAGGGCTGGCAGCAGTTTGTTGTCTCTTGCAGTTGCTGAGGACCAAAGGGTGAACGTGCAGGAGCTGAGGGTCAGGGAGTCTCGTGTTCTTTACTGCTTGACAATATGTTTAGGTTTAAATGTTTGTCAAACTGTGACTTTAGTAGTTCTCTTACTCCATCTATTAATTAATGGGAGAGTAAATCTCACTTTGAAGCATTTGTGGAAAGTATGTATAATACCTTTGTCAATACTATTTATTCTCCCCTCACTTCGTTATCGTGCATGGGATCACTGGGTGACTTGCTCCTTTGAAGTTAATTTCTTCATAGGAGGCTTTTGTAGAGTCACAACTGCTTGGAGCCTTTTCAGAAAAGACTGAACAGAAACATTTGTGCAGGAGTGGCCGGGGGTTGTGTAGGGGTTTTAACACATCATCCTTATGAGATAGAGGCTGCAGCACAAGAAGTTGCTGAGAATTTTTTTCATCCTTATGAATTGGATCTTAATGGGTTGACACAGCCTGATTTTGTCAGACATCCTGTGGAGTTAGAAGGGTCATTAAAAAACAGAAACAAGTGTTTAAATACTTTGACCTCTCTTCTGAACAGTTTCTTTGTTGGCTTGAAATACTTAACAGAACAGTGGAGGCCAGGAGTGACCTCTGGACAAGCCATGCATGTTCTGTCAAGGCTGAGGCTGTACCTGGGGCCATGTTCAGTAGAATTTGAGACTCTCCCAGGAAGAGGGCCCATCACATCACAGGGTGTATGTGGCTGTGCTTGGCCACACTTGTGCCTTCTTTACATCCAGCCAGAATTTCCCTGAATGTGGTTCTGTGACCCTTTGATAAGCTTCACCACTGCTTTCAGAGCTCTCTCACTGGGCCACCATCTCTTGTGCCAGAAGGCTTTGAGCCACATGTGGTAGTAATCCATCTGTGTGTGTGTGAGAGCCTTCTGGATGGAAATACTTCACTGCCCTACAAAACTCATGGCTATGCTTTTGTTGCTGTACCTCTTTTCTACACGGAGAGACATTTTCTTTTTCTTAGAAAGTACAGTCAAGTTAAACTGACTAATACAAAAGTGAAGGAAACAGTAAATAATTGTGCTTTCTAAAATACAGTCTTTCTAAAACTAGGTTGAATTTTTAATTCTGTTTCTTGATTGATTTTTCTCTGTATTATGAAGGCTTAACTTGTATGTAGTTTGGATTGTTTGGGGTTACAATCGGCTTGTATTCATTGAGAGAAGTTAAATATGAAGATGGGAGTCTGTTTATGCTAAACAGGTGGATCAAGTTCAAGCCATTCTGCCTGCTCTTCAGCATCTTATAGGAGGCTTTGACAGCCTGAAAGCTAAATTACCTATTTGGAAATGTTCTAAGTTTAGTGCTAGAACTAAAATACATGTTTGTTGTTTCAGGTGGTGGTGTATAGAGCTTTGTTGGAGAGTCCTGCCTTTCACTGCCTGCATCCTTTTAACAGTGTGTCAAAGGTGAGTGGTTCAAGTCTGGTGGTTATTTTCATAACTTAAGGTAACAAGTGAACTAGAGGTATTGCTTGATTTTGGCTTTTATGTAATAACAGTGTAGTTGTGATTTTTCGAATTTTTCAACTGCTGGATGAATTATTAAATAGCCTGTCTTTTTCTGTCCATGATCTGGGGCAAATTGGTTCTAGTTCTTACATTCAGAAAAAAAAAATCCAAGAAAAAGTGATAGGTTCAGACTGTTAATTGAGAACTAGATATTGCTTCCACTGTTTTATGACTGCTGTATCCTGCTACTCTCTGTTTTGACTTGGGATGTTTTCCCCTGAAGGTGCTGCCTGAAAGCACAATATGATGGTGTGGGAAGTATGGAGGAGAAGCAGTCATCCATAAACCATGGCAGGGCAGGCTTTGTATTATTCTTTGGTTGAATTCTAAAAACTACGTAATAGCTTTGAAAGTGTTGAAAGTATTGGGTGTAAAGAAGGTTTTCATGTTTTGTGTGAGAGCAGAAGAGAATTGCATTTAGTATATAGAGAGCATCTTCCTAGGCTGACTGAGGACCTGAAATAATCTGATGAAGCTGATGTTGCTGTAGAACATCTTTTTGTGATAGAGTTTGGCTGGCTTTTTTCTTTTAATTTGTGTACCCTATTGTCAGTTTCCAGTAGCTGTAGTTGGTCTCTGTGGCTTAGTAGGAATTTATTAACATTACTGCTGTATCAAAAAATAGAAGCAAAATGGCAGAACACTGAATAAGCATTCAGCGTTGTAGTATTGCAGCATGGAATCTTGGCTTAAGTCAGTACTTTACCATGTGGATTTCTTACTTCTTACTCAAATTCTCTGTTTAAAAAAAATGTTGCCTTCTTCAGGGGGAAGTTATGAAGTCCAATTATTGAAATTTTGGAACCTACAAATGGAAAGCAATAAATTACATTGTTGTGTGCCTTGATATTTGCTGTGAGTTCTATTAAATACTTAATTTATTGTTATGAGATGTTGAATTTAGATTTATTTATTCAGTAAAACTAAGGTGAACCACTTAGAATTAAAAATGCAATCCAGTCTTAACTATTTTGTCTCCGTATGGTTTTGCAAATGATTGATTTTCCTTTAAACTGAAAAGGAAATTCTGAAGTAATACTGAGATAGTGGGCTTTTGCACTATATTTTCAAATTATCTGACATATGTCTTTAAATGTACTGGAAAAAATCTGTAACCCTGGCTTTTCTAACAGATCAGTGTAACCTTGAACACTTAGGTGTTTAAAGACTGATAGTAAGAAACCTTTTGAATTAGTTTTCTTTAATAATTTTTGTATGATGTACAAGTAGCAAAGTCAAAATATTCTTGAAAGAACTGTAAATGTGAAAACAAAATAAAGACACAATCAAGCAAATGATTAATCAAGCTTTTGACTTAGTCATTGTAAAATTATTTTTGTGCAATAATTTCTTCTCAAAATTAAGCCAGTATGTTTTTGGCTATGGACTAAATTATGTATTTATTTCAAATATGTAATGTAAAACACAGAGTTTTATCTTCAGAATCTCTTACTTGTCCTTTTTTATAATAGTTTTAAGTTAAATATTCAGTGAAAATAATTTTAAAAATACTCCACTGCTCACTTAAAGGAAATAGGTGTCTGAAGTCCTGGTTATGTACTTAGTCATCTTTATTTCTTGAGCTATTTGCTGTGATATAGAGCATATTGAGCAATTTTTTTTTTACTCTGTAATCCAGTAAATGTGAAGGGTAACCAAACATGCCCAAAGTGGAGTTCTTTATATCAGGTGAGGGTTTTATGTGTTTTGTCAAGAGGCAGTAAATAGATAACAGCTCGCTGAAAGGCGTTGAGGAAGCACTACCTGGACATGTCATTTGGTGGGGTGTGCAGGGAGTGTCTCTCTTTTTGTATCTTTTTTTTTTTCTCCTTTTTTATTGAAGAATGAGTACTCGGGATTTTCACTGTGTATGATTGGACCATGCTCAGTCTCAGTAACAAAATTAAATCTAACCGTTAATATTAATATTTTGTGCCTTTTTCCATCATTTGTGTGCTTGTTTCTGCTGGACTGTATTCAGCTTGGTAAATATGTGAATCTGCAAAACCTGGAGCATTCTGATGTTGTTCCCAAAGGGAAATGAATGTGTAGGTCTAAGTTCAGTAAAGCCTAATTTTGTAATGTTTTGTTGAACCAGGGTATAGTAAACCTTTTGCCCTTTGAAAAGGAAATGAAATTGGCAACAAAGTAAATTTTCAGAAATTACAGTCCAAATCCTTAAACTTCACCAAACTGCAGGCAATCATGTATCCTTAGAGGATTTTGTTGTGGTTATCAAGGTCTGCCGGGTGGCTTTTATGTAGCTGGGCAAGCTGGCTTTTTTCAGTTGTTTGCTTTCCTCTCCCTCTCCTCTAACATATTTTATGTAGTGGTATTGTGTACTTTTGAACTTGTCCCTGATTCATTTGCAGTAATAGAATCAAAACCAAGATCTTATATTGTATTTTCGCAACAAAATATTTTGAAAAGTGATTTCAGTATTGATATGTGCATTGAGCATTTTGTATTTTAGGTTAAAATCTTTTGGGAAATGTTCTGTGATTTTTTGACACTTGATACACTCATATGGAATGATTGGTTCTTTAGAGTTACCTCTGTATATGAGAGGGAGATTGTTAGATGAGAATCAAACTGGTATGAACAAAGTTATCGATGTCTCCATACTCAGCAGATTTGTCAGAGGCTGCAGTACCACACATAGAACAGAAATCCTTGTCTGTAAAGATTCTCAGAGCAACCATGATAGAGATGAGCTCCTCACATTTTGAGACTGGGGACCTGCACAAAGCTTCTGACCGATTGAACCTCCTCCTCTGAGAGCAAAAAGCACCACAGACATTTCAACTTGTTGGAACTGTTTGTGATGCTGTATCAGAATATTTCTTGGTCTTTTTCTGTGATTCAGCATGTTTGTAGTTGTTGATTTTGGATATTTTTTAACCCAAGGAAAATGATACCTATTCTCAGTGTTTCATATGAGTTAATTGTGGGAAACTTTGATTCTGACAGTTACGAAGAGAATGAAAGGTATGTGCTAAGTGGATGTCTGGATTCCTTTCTCTTAAAAAAATATTCCTGTAATTATGCCAGGTGCCCAAAGTGATTGCAAGACTTTGAATGCAACTTCAGTGTTACTTAAATATATTTACAGACATTTAGTACAATAAATGAATTTATAGAATACTGCTTATTATGTTATGCGAGTGGCATAATGCTTTCTAACCTATAATTGAGATGGTGGGGAAGAACACTTTCAGCCCACTGTTACACTTCCATTACCACAGGTATGCACTTCAAATAAATTGATCTTCCCTAAATTACATTATTTTAGTATTTCTTTTTTTAGATTTTTCTTTCCTACTTTTTTTTTCTTGTTTCTCTTTGTAGTAATTGTAGCTCTTTACTTGAACTAGGGGCATATTTTAATTTAGTAATAATATGAAAGTTAAGAATCAGTTGTCTATATTTTTCCAGTTCTGATAGTTTCAGGTGCAACTCATGTCTGTAGGTATCAGCAGTACCTGTAACAGCCCACAAATGTCTTTTGCAATGTGCTTTAACTGCAGTCCATATGGATTCCTTATCAGAGAACACTGTTCAGCTTTCATCAATGCAGGAAAATTAATTTAAGTAAAAATATAACAATGACCACATTTCTTTAATGATGGAAGTAGTTTTGGTATGTGATAGCCAATGTGGGCTTTGTCTTGTCATCCAGCTTGTCAGTTTTTCTAAGGCAAATGGTTTGGTGTGTCATCTGGATGTTGAAGTTGGTGAATTTCACAGAAGGGAGGAATATTTAAAAGCTAGTGTGGTATATTTCTTGGTGGAATTCAGTTTCTAATAATTTGGCTAATTAATCTTGGATTACAATTACTGCTTGCACTGTATAACAGAGCTTCAATTGTACTAAGCAGAGAGAACTGAGAAAATGAGCTTGTCCTGTTGTTTATTTTTTAAGCCAGTAGCAATGCAAAGCACCGAATACCATGCATACAGATGCAAACCTTTTACACTTCTTTTTTCCTTTCCCTGATTTTAAGTTTGAGAGCCTTACTTTAAGACATCACAGGCTCCTTGCCATCTTGTGGACTGAAGCCCCACTTTCCTTTGTGCTGTCTTTTCCCACCCTTTTGTTTCGCCTGCAGCCTCCTTATTTTGGAGGCTGTTGTTTGTGTCAGCTGCTTAGTTGTTCCCGGCAGTAGAGCCTTGGTGTAGCCTATTTTCTACCTGCTCCATCCTCTCTTTTATCCCCCCACCTTTCTTTTAAATGATCCTTCTCCTGATTTTTGATTCAGCAGCTTTATGCGTAATCCTTCCAGGTACTGTTGTTGCCACTCAGACTGTTCTTTTCCTTACCGGTTTGGGTCCTTGAAGTTTTGTAGCACACCTTTTCCTTGTGACTGCTTGTTCCACTTTTTCCTATTAATATTTAAAATCTACCAGTAGCCTGATTTTTTTTTTCTAATGTTCAATACCATCAGATGTGTTCATATATATGAGCTAGAAATGTGCCTTATGCAAGCAGCTACAGCAGGTGATGTCAGAGAGATTATTTCCCTGAAGCGGCAGGGTATTGAGGGATCCAAATTTTCCCAAGAGGGTGATTTTGAATTCTCTGTCTTGCACCAAAATCCACAGCTCTTAGCACATTCCCTGATAAGCTCAGTTGTCTCATACCATTAGTTCTCAGGTTATCACATACCAGCCCCAAAAATGCTGTTGAATGAGGGTTAGACTTCTCTTTATATTTGATCTCTGAATTTGCTTTTCAAGATTAAACAGTCAGAGTATTAGTTTTCCTTGCTTAGTTCTCCCTGAAGATTACTGAATGGTATTTTCTGCCAGCCTTAGATTTGCATGGGATCTGCAAAGGTCTGTTCCATTATTGCTGGGTAGAGGGCTGGTTTATGATGGTGAAGATCAGGATGCGTGGG